GAATGAAACCGCATAACCACAAAGCCATAAAGCAATCACATTAGACGTTTACTTTAATAAGAACTAGATAACGTACTCGTAGGTAACAACTCGGTTTCTGTTTAATCAAGCTCGTTTAGCGTGTTTCCAAGAACTATCTCAGGTCCCTCCCATCTCGACATATAGTTTAAGATTGAGAAATATGTTCTGTTTTCTTTAATTTTATCTTTCTTCTCTTATATTACTACTTGTTTAAATACAATACATGCAACTATCAGTTTACAAACCTAAACTTTGCTGTTTTCAGTAATGAAAATGTCCAATACAAAGTATATATTCGGATATTTACAATCCTTTTAAATTTAACAGATGATAACTCAAATTACTTTAAGGTTTTAAACTACTTTAATCATATTACACCCATTAAAAAAAAAACTCACACACAAGAGATGTATCTGTTTCATTTTCAACTTATTGTAAGGAAGGACGTATCGTATAAACAATTCTTTTAAGTCCAAACCACGAATGCTTACTTGAATAATATGTATGGAATCTAACGTATACGATATGTTCCATCTTCTTACTATATAAATTAATGAATTATTTTCATAAAATATGTAATATTGCACTTATTTTATTACCATTATATTTCAAATAATTGAAATGTCCAGATTCCAGTTAATAACGAGGTCGAGATAGTTAGAAGTAACGATTAAAAAACTGTAAATCAACAGAGCTTCGAGGTCATGCGGTCATATGGGGGCGAGCTCCTGTCTAGGGCTGATACTGTTCTATCACAAAACACATAATTTATAAAATAATTAACCATAGAAGCAGAACAATGAATCTATAGAAAATATTTCAGCAGAAAACTTTATTTATTCGATGCAAACATTAATACAACGTCATAGTAAAGAAATTTAAACAGTTTATTGACAAATAAAAATTTTATTGAAGTAAACCTTCAACATTGTGACTATCAACCAATTTGCCAACTTTATAACTATTAAAAAATACTAGTTTTTAATCTCCACTCTGTAATATTATAATAATAATTTCATCTAAGATCATATTTAAATTTTCGTAAGTGTTTTAATTATTTCTTCATTAAAATCGCCAACCTTAGCCAAGCTGTTCCCTCTAAAGGTACTGGTCTGTATAGACTTCAGTTTAATGCTAACGGTTGCTCTATATTGAGGTATTCACCCTCACCCGTAGTGATGCTGCGCCACATATTAAAACTAGAGTTTATTGCTTCTGAATAGTTTGCATGAAATCAATTTTTCCCACAAAATTGAAATATATATTCATATCTCGGAAAAGAGTAACCAACATTTGGTTCGCCAAATAAAGTGCTCGGTATATAAAAAATATTTATTAATATTTTTTACCAATCCAATATCGTAGTAATCATCTAGTGTTTCAACATGAAAACAAACATTCACTTCAATGTACCGTTTACTTTTTTTACGAGTTAATTAATTACATTGATTTAATCCAATCAAATAATTATGATATTTCCTTAATTACGATGCGAATGTGAAATGAAAAGTCTTTATATCAAGATATTTTTAATATTATATTCCAAAAATGTAAATATCAAAAGTAAATTTGGCGTAACCAATTAGAAACAGCGATGAAAAGAATCTGGTTTTTGATGAAGGGGAGTTATCCACGGTAAATAATTAGTATCCCATAGAATAATTTCGATAACGACAAATTAAATGATTTTAAGTCATAATTACTATAAAATAGTTTTATAAAGCTATTTAAAACAACAAATTTTGCAGGTAAATCGATAAATTGCATACTTTCTAAATTCCTATTATTTCAGATTATCACTTTAACAGATATATTTTTGTAAAATTTTAATAAAATATTTAATAAAAAACAATTTTACATCTTTGTAAATATTTTTTAATAATTTTCTATCTGAATAGCAGTAATATTTTTATAGTTTAATTCTAATAAAACAATTCAGGAAAAACTATTTTATTCCTTTCTTAATAATGTTTAATCTTTTTCTAGCTATATTTTGTATTTTTAATAAACCATGACATTAAAATTTCAACAAACCAATAAGACTGAAAGCTAAATAAGACAAAATTTTATAAAACAAATTTCAACTTAAATTATCTATGACTTTATATAATTATATTTTAACTCTACACAGCAAAATACGTAACAAGCGCCAAATACACGTAATTAAATTTATCCACATTTAGAGAATTTAAAATTGAATTGTCAATAAATTTATTAAATTTTAGAGTTTTCCTGTACATCTCAATAATTATAAGAAAGAGCTGCTTTTTATCGATATAAATAATCAGTTGAGACAATTTTATTTTAAATATATATTATAAATTTGACATCGATGTCTATCTGTGTATGTTTACTGTCTGTGTTGTGTGTGTGTCTGTGTGTTTTCAGCCCATGCATGTTTGTTTGTTTTTACCAGTAATGTAGTATATTGATCTAATATTTTTTGTCCTATTGGATACGAAAAAGTTTTAATATTTATTATCCTATTTTATTATCTATATAATTAAATTTCTAAACAGAGATTTTTTTCCATTACAATACAACCCGTATTTTATCTTCTCCCTTATAAGAGGTTCCAATGACATCTATTTTGTTTCATTCACATTTCGGGATTAACCGCATCACAGATTCAATCGTTCAAAACCACTCACTCAACAATCCATTCAGTAAAAAATAATGACAAGTTAGGATTTCGAAAAAGACAAAACAATAACGTTCACTAATTAAACATTAGGAAATCTATCGAAATTAGGTACTGAAGCTTTATAATAATATTTTTATTATAATGTATATAAATAATATTATATTCTTATTAATAATAGAATATTACAATCGGAGTATTGTACAATGGACAGTGTCAGCACTTGTAATGAAATGAAGTAACGTCTCAATACGCCTCATTGATTCAGACCCAGATACGATGAATGCTCTCTTATATTCCGATCTCTTCGCCTTTATCTATGAAAATCGATATTTAGATGACACATTTACGTTACATCACTATCACTAGTCTTTGGCCGTACGAACTCATAAACTCATGTTTTACATAAACTAAACGAAAATTATAGGTATTGATGATTTGTGGCAATATTGTATTAAAAAAATAAGATAAGGTCTAGGTATAATTATTCTCGTATAAGTATATACTTTGTGTACCTATATTAACAAATTGGAATCTACAAATTGCTTCTGATTTGAGGTTTAACTTATGCTGGCCGTTTGCAAAATAAATAAATAAAATATGAAAAAAATTATTGAATTTATATATAAAAGATCAAAGGTTATCCTTTTTATGGCAAACATTGAGTATGAATAATTTAATTATAGAAAACCCTGTAAAAAGCTTAGTCCCCTACAGAAAATTGCTAATGTGACACCAGGAAACAGTAGGTAAAATAAGACTTGAAGAGTTTTATAGGTTAGAAAAAAAGAAGTTTTTGACATCCTGAAACCGACATTATATATACATGCCCAAATGTATATATCGGCGCTACCAGCTTTAATAACGGATGCGACATCTAAATAATTTGAGGCTGTCATCAATTCTTATTAAACCTCATTAGTATTTATGATTATTGTTAAAAGTAAAACGAAATCAAAGGTTGTTTAAAAGGAGAATAGAACTATGTTTAAATCTTGTTATAAATATGACGTCTGGACGCACGACGGCAGAATTGAGACTTCAGAATTGAGAATTCAGAGTTCAGTGAGTGCGTATCATTGAAGTATGTTATTATGAAGAACCTTCGAGAAATACAGGAGCATTAAGAACAATTGAAGTTTCGTTTTAAAATATCATGGACCGTTCTAGAAAAAGTGACATATTATGTGACGACAGGGAAGCTGGCGTCCCTCTCTTTTAAAAACAACGAATGTGTAATAAATCCGATATATATAATTATTTAATTATATGATCGAATTCATACAATTGAATATTTGCACAATATAAACGTATTACTTGATACATTAAAAAAAAACATTTGAACTTGAATTACTTCAAACAGGAAAAGAAAAATATGTAAATAAAGTAAAATTAATTCAAGTATCTACTAAACGCGCGTTAGTATTTTTTTTACTTTTTTTGCAACTCAAAGTCTGAAGATTTAGTGCCTCATTAGCGATCGTAAAATTTATCTTGTTGTCGAATAATAAAGAACCCCAATTACCGGCAAAAGAATAAATTTCAGCATAATTCTGAATTTAAACTTAAATTTGTATAAAAAGTCTAATAAGAGTCTTAATTTGTTATTTTATATACAAAAACTGAAAATTAATTTCCATCATTTTTTTTAAATCTTTAGCATAATACTGTTCATTAAAAAAAATACATCTTTAGTAGTTTCACAAGGGTGCAAGTGAAGTACAAAGTAGTACTATAGAATAGTATCATAAAAAGTAATTCGTTCCTGTAATGTTTGTTAAGAATCTAGTATTTTTAAATCGAATTGATAAAGATAACAAAAAAATTATAATGAATTATATTATATCGCATGTTGTGCTAGTAAAGCTTTAAAATTTGATGCTTTTAAATTTTAGGTAAAGAGGAATACAAATTTAACAACTATAAATTTTTTCTAGTCACATTACGTAAAAAAAAGTTATGTATCACTTTTAAAAACAAATATTCCTATATCAATTGAGATTTAAATTAATTTTTTGCTTCTTTTTAACTAACAATGCAATAACAAAACGCAAAAGTCACTAATGATAACAATAATTTCACCAAGACGCAAAACGTCAAATGTCAATGTGTATATTGTTTCTAAATAAAGTTATTTATTTGTAATTTCTAGCAGTTATAAAAGTTTTGTTGATTATATTAATAACTGTGCGTATTAAAACCTTATTTGAAGTAAGTCCTGAAACTATTTTTGGCACATAGTCTTTATTATTTTTTAATTTAAGGGCTTGTGCAACAAAGGAAGTATAAACCAAAGGATTGCCTTTTTTTTAGCAAATTTTAACTATTTTCGACTAAAATGGATTGCGTTACCACATTAAAGATCCTTGTTATTGGAGAGAGTGGAGTTGGAAAGTCAAGGTATGTTTATTTCAAATCATAATGAGTCATAGGTCAAAATATAAACTTGCAAATGATTAATATGTTGAATCCACGTTTTTAGTTCTGATAGCAAACGTTGGCATAATCTGTAATAGTTATAAAGCCATGATTTATTTATTTAGCCCTAAGAAAACACATTCTTCAAAAGACTCAACAAATACCATATACATTTTATATGAATGTAACTGACAATCATAGAACTGTATTGAATTATTTTATTATCAATTGAATGTTTTTAGATTACATACAATATTTTCAGTAGTCCACATGAAATTATTAACTTAAAAAATATGATTTTTATTATCCTCTTATTTATATACATGTATGAATATACATATATAAATATGTCTTAGTACTATAAAGTATTGGAACGGAGCCAAATTTCAAAAACTCATATATTTATTTAAAAAACTGAATATTATTTTCTTAAAGTATAAATAAAGTACAAATATAACATATACAAATTCTACTCTAAAAAATTGTCACTGACCTTTAACACCACAATTGTTCTATAATTTTAAAAACAACTGTAAATTATATTCAAAGAGTACAAATACTAGATTACTTTAAATAAAAAAAGTAATGTTTTCTTAATGCAAACAATATTAATTAATACATTAAATCCTATATTGAATCAAATACATAAATAGTTTCACAACTTATGTTAAATTTGCAATTTGGATTATTTACAAGTTTTACAAATTAACACCACTTAAATATCTCTATGACTTTTTAATATTATATATATAATATTATGATACTAGTAGTTTGTTTGTAAATTGAGAGTAGTTAGTTACCAATAAAAAATTTCCCTCATAAACTAAATTAAAATAATATATATGTAAATGTTTCTTAGGTTATTTATAGACTTTCTAGCTCACAGTATTTTATTTGTAACTCGATTGCACTTGTTCTCAGTCAACAAGACAATATAAATGAAATAAAATACTCTATGCCATTGTAAATTATGGAATAATAATTTTAAACATAATTATTTTAAATCATTTATCTTTATTTATTAATAATTAACAAACTTATATACAATTTCATTAAAAATACTTGTAAGTTTCAAACAAAATGTCTTTATATAGTAATTATATGTATAGCATATATTATATATTAATTTAATCACTCAATTGAAATGATATTTTTAGTATCATCCTAGCGTTCACAACAGGGGACTATAATTCATCGTTTCCAGCCACAATAGGAGTCGACTACAAATGTAAGGTTATGGAAGTGAATGGTTTGAAAGTCAAATTGGGTATCTGGGATACGGCCGGCCAGGAGAGATATAGAACTTTAACCAACAGTTTTTACAGGTTAATATATACACATATATATTATTTAGTGTTTAATTTATTACAAATTAAGTCGTTAATATAGAAAATATTTCAGCTTAAACTTTCTTCTGATCTGCTTCCAATGTAGATACGCGGAATTATCCAATGCTAGTTACATGATTTTTGCACTATCCCCGACGGCATTTATATGAACATATGTAATTTTGAGTAAATTTATAGTATGTTTGAAAATAAATAATTAATTAAGTATGAAATTTTACCATAAACAAGTCTGTTTTGTATAATGGCTGAATTCTTAACCTGTTAATTCATTGACTTATATATGATATTAAATTATATAAATTAATAATTATAATTAATAGCTCTTGTATTTCAGGGACGCCCACGGGGCAATACTAGTGTATGATGTTTCAGAACCAAAAACCTTACAGAAATTGAATGAATGGGTCGATGAACTTCAAGTGTACTCCACAAAGAAGAATATTGTGTGTTTGGTTGTTGGAAATAAAATTGATAAGGTAAAAATATTTATTATCTCATACATATATTAACAATTTTCAGGGATTTTTTTATTTTGATTTTTTTAGTATGTTAAGTATTGGGAGACTCTTGATTTTGTTTCTATGTCTGTCATAAGTAACTAGTAAAGTAACATGCAATATATATTTATATTAATCTGTATTATTATTAAGGATTATCAAACATACTTATACCAAATGAATATTTTTGGTTTACAAATAAATTATAAATATACCAGAGACTTATGTATGTAACGATAACTGTTTTCTAATAGCTCATAGATGGGCGATTTTTTAATTAGTTATTTGACACCTATCATTCTATTTTAGGTAATTCACACATTATCTTTATAAATTAATATCTATGCTCTATTCTTATGTATAAGCTATAATATTGTTAAGTTTCATTAAAATCGTTTCAGTAGTTTTTACGTGATAAAGTAACAAACATGCATACAAGCTTTTGTGTTTATATAATTAGTAGGTTTTAGAAAAAGTAAAATAATAATGATATCTAAGATTCGCGAGTATTCATTTAAATGAAACTAATATTTTCGGATCGGATTTTTAGTATATTATTTTTAGAAACTCCCGCCGTTTCCGTTACTTTTCAGCAACCGTGATCACGGGCACACGAGATGTGAATGTCTGTTTGTCTATGTTCAAGAAAAATATTAGTTTCATTTAAGTATTAAATAAAGTAAAAGTAAATCGTCATCACATAAAGCATCCTGATATGTTATTGTTAGGATCGAGCGGTCTCTAGAGAAGCCGGACAGGCCTTTGCACAAAAACACAGAATGCTTTTCATTGAGAGTAGCGCAAAGACACAAGAAGGCATCAATCTGGCATTTGAAGAGCTCGTACAAAAGGTACAGTTGACATTCATTTTTTGTACCATATATTTCTATACACATTTATTTATTGAGTATGAGTATTTATTGAGTATGAATTTTTGATTATAGAGCATATATTTCTATATCTATTCAAAATGGTATTATATAAAGCAAATTTTAGCAGTCTTTTTTTTCTAGTGACGTAACTGAGTTAAATGATTTCAAAGAAAGTAATATTTCTATTAAATTTTCTTGCTAGTTTAATTTTATAGTTTTTGGACTAAATTATTATCATTAAGACATGTTTTAAAGATTTATACTAATTAGCTAACAATAGTCTTTGATAGTTTTGTCTAAATTATTAAATAAGACAAGTCTGGGCTGAAAATATTTGATGATTTTGGACCTTATTTCTTAGATAATAGAGACTCCCGGTCTGTGGGAATCTACTGGCTCGTCTTCTAACATCCGCGTCACTAGCGAGGAACGTTCACAACAGGAATCCTCTTGTTATGATTACACCTGTTCCATTTAATGAATTATATATTAGTTGGCTGGCATCTGTTCACACAAACATATATGACCTTATAGAAAATCATTTAATTCTCTCCTTATAAAATAGAGATTATAAGTATTTGTTTACTTGTAAATATATTTATGTTTTTTTGTATTCACCTTCAAATTATTACGATAAAAGGGAGACTATAGTTTATAGAAACCTTAGATAGTTTGGGTTAGAAAATTTTCAGTTTCGTAAACCATCGTGAACTTTATTACGCGAGAACGTTTCAGTCACTAGTTTCACGAAGCTTTTCGTTCTAAGGTTTATATGAAAGTAAAGATTATGTATTAATATATATTATTTTGATAAATAAATATTTAACGTTCAGATACAGCCAACATTGTTATGTGATATTTTATAATAAATGCTTGTACATATTTAAAATTACATAGACATCACGGAGTTACTCATATTTCAATACATTTTGTAAAAATCGCAATTTTATTAGAAATAATCACATATTTAAAGGATATATTTTATACTTGCTTATTCTGTTGAATTCTCTTAATAAAGTACTGTGGATTATATAGGACCAAATGTGCAAATAAATTGTTTTTAGTATATAAAGAGTTTTATTTTGTAATTTCACTTAATAATATTTAATTAAATACATATTTAAACATTATAAATTGAGATAATGTTTTCATTTTGGTATGAAATTTAATACCATCCAAATATTTTGTATAATTATATTTGGAATGCGGAAAATTCTGAAAAAAAATGTTCGTAAATTAAAAGCATCATGATTAAATACATAATAAATTTATAGAACAATGAAAGAGTCAACAATTCCATAAAAGACTTCAAGCAAATTTTATTATGTCAAAGGTACATAAGATTTGAAATGTATGAAACTACGACTTGTCCAACTGAATCACTCTTTGTTCTTACAAAACGATATTATCTGATAATGTTAAGCATATATTAATACGTCGCGCTAAAAAAGTATATAAGCAAAATATGTTTCCTATCAAATGCCATATCAATAACTATATAAAGCAATAACAATCAGTCCTGCCTATGGATTATGCATAAAAATATATGAAAACGTATTTTCCCGTTTAGTAAACTTAATCTTGTCGAGAAACCTCTAAGTTTTAAAGTAGGTATCGTTATTTAAATATGACGTTCTAAATCCTATCCCTTCTCTATCAATAGTCAATCAAGGCAGTTATAACAAATGTCCAAATCTCAGTGTATATTAGGGCGATCCTAAATCAAACTAACTGCCATAATTTGGCCGTGTTCACTTAACATCTCTTACCCGGACTAATTCCGGCGTGGGTCATTTATCACGGGGACTGGACAAATGCCCTTCAAGGAGGTCTGCCCTCAATGGTCCTGCGAAGGAGTCCCCGCTAATGAGAGCCCATCAGTCAGGAGGCTGGGATAAGCGTTGACAAATAAAAGCAGAGCTCTGATTTACGATTGTTTAGTTGGAACCATATATAATGTGTGCGTAAACAGCTCGGACAGTTACTGGGACCTACTTTAAGATGTGTTTTTTGTTTATCATTCAGTGATAATACCTTTTTGTGTGGTTATTTTTTGCTTTTGATAAAGGGCTTTTAAATTGTGTTTGTTTGTAAATATATGGACTTGTTTTTGTCTGCGACTTCCGTTTGGTCTTTCGTATTCGTCTTAGAGAGATACTTATACAGTCTATTTAAGCTACAGACATTAGCCCTTCCACAGCGACATATATAGCCTGAGTCACGTGACTTCATGTAAATTACAATATTTATACAACGATCACGCGGTAAGGGCAGGGAATTCCGAAAAAAATTATAGCTTATACCCGGTTTCTATCTTTAAGGTACATTTTTATAAAGTTTTACAAAAATGTTTCAAGAATTTTTTGAGTTAAGGAGAAACAAATGTCAATAAATACATTCTAACAAAATATCACATCACATTTACATATATTAGAGTAAGCGACTGTTTACTCAATATAATTTATGTTCTTGTAATTAAAATAAAATAACTTAACATAATATGATAATGTATGCAGTGATATAATTACGTATTTTTATGCCATATGATAGAAAATTCCACACATGTATAATTTAAAGTCAAAGTGAGAAGCGACAGCTATATCAAAACAAAATTCGTCCAAATTATTACTGACGGATGCATAAATCCGGCAACGGTTTCGACAAGCGTTTATCTTATCAGAATATCACGAAAGCACTCGTGAAACGATATTTGCGAACGGACTGACGGAATTAATACGTTCTAAAATCATCCCCATACGATGTACGAACAAGCTATTTAATACTCCAAAATGTGCACGACACTCGCACCCTTTTGAACAAGAAAAATAAGTTCTATTTTCGACCGAAACATGTATGGAGTTTTCTTCACATCGTATCGATTGTACAACGGTTAAATATGAAAATGATCTATCAAACGAGAAGAATTAAACGATCTGTCATTTTAATTGATTATTAAAACGGATTATTTGGAGACTGTACGAACACAAGTAGAAAACATGTATTAATTAATTTGCAATATTTTCAACCACACCACTCGAGTTTCATTTTGCTGCAAAACTTCAGAACGCAAAACTGAATATAACTGAATGGCTGAGAGTTTTTACTAGTTCGGTATGTAAAAATGTGGAATTAATGAAGTGACTCTATGTTGAATTGAATGGCATCTGAAAATTTTCATATAAAGAAGTACTTCGGAACACTAACTAAAATACAGTTAATTTTTTATAAGTAAATTGTTGAAGCTGTTGCTAAGTGAGACTATCATTAAATAATTACGAAAAAATGTTGTCGTATCAAAACATAGGTATCTCGATAATACTCTCAAGTACCTACAAGTTGAGATATTTTTATTATTAATCTGAATGAAAGGTTTTCGTAAGTAAAGTTTAGGAAAATGATATTAAAAGATTCTTATCTAAAACATATTACTCTCTTGTACATGTAAAATTAAATTTTATTTGATTTTAACGAGATATTTTCATTTATGTATATCCAGATTCAATCAGATAAATAACCATTTCTTAATAACTCTTACCTGTCCTGTCTAATCTTTTACCAGATTAATTAAATTTGGATTGAATCATGAAAGAATTAAGATGGATTCTATTTAATAAATATAGTGTTTTAAAAATCTTAAACATTATATAAAAGTACATATATTTTTCGTATTTCACATTACAAATAAAATACCTTCTTTTATACAAATACGTGTTCATAAAATTAATAATTATAATGAACTAAAGAACACATTAAAAACATAAAACCGATTAAAATTATTATAATACGTAATATGTATAATGAATGAACCTGTCGATAATCTGATCGAAAATATCTTTTAATCCTTTTCTTTATTATAATTTAAATAATCTCATTACATTATTCCAGTTAATTTAAAAGCACAGTTCACAGTTCACTGCGATATCGACGATCGATGGAGGTGACTGAAAATTTTAATGATCTGAACGAATACCAACTCCATATTACTATTATAACGTACGTGCTACTACAACTACTTATACTATTTGTAGTAGCAATCTATTTACATAAATAATATGACAAAACAAGCATTTTATTAGAAAACAAATTTCGATACCAGGAAAACAGTCTAAATATATTTATTAAATGCTTTTCAGCTTTCACTAATCCTCGCATGGAAACCTTACTATATTAAGAGCTCCAATAAATTAATTAATTGAAATTCTTCTCCAAATTCATATGATACAATAATAGTATTTTTGTAATATATATGTCATTTTACATTACAAATAACGAAAGATGAATATGACGGATGGAAGATAAAATAAAACATTACAGCGACACTATATCCAACATTTGATTGATAGCGGCTGTAAGCCTCGAACGGGATCCAATTGATTTGTGTCTTTTTAAAATCCGATTTCGTTTCAATTCGTTACCTAGATGATATTCGTTTTAAAACTATTTCTGTATTGTTATATATTTTTCGTGTAATTTATTTACGTTCATTTTATTTGCTTTCTATTATTGCATTCCGTAATCTTTATTACTACAGTATTTTTTCATTCGTCGTAAAACATTTCCCATTTATACTTATTGAAGTGAAACTTTTATTACGTCTCCTCTATTTTATACAACAGACCGTTGAACGAAGTAAAGAGAAAGGGCTTTACGTTTTCTGTAGTTAATTTATAAAAAAGGAAAGTATTTTTTCATGGAAAATATTTTCAACTAGTGAAATATTAACGTTTCCCTGAATATGATTCAGAAATGGAAAATTGTAAGTTGTGAAATGGGAAATAAGTAATTTAATCTAGCAACACAATCTGGTGCAAAACTGGAAAGTCAAATAACGAGAGGAAAACATTTTACTAATATCAATGGAAAACTAAAAATTACTTTCATACCAGTTCTAAGAATGAGATTTTTGAATTAAATTTTCACGAGCTGAACAAAATATTCAATGATATTCCGATATCTGAGGTAACGAAGTCTAGACATAAACGTAATTCTCGTGCATCACAGTTAATTAACTTGTTTCCTCATTTATTTCTGTAACCGCATCCATATGACCACCCTTCGATACCAAACATAATAATGCTAATTATATTCCGAATAACAAACAAAATTATGCATGCAACAAAGGATTCCAGTTCTCTTCCGGACCCGCAAAGCCCGATGAGCTTTGTCCCTCGTCCGGGTAATACAAAGAATAAATTAAAGATCAACTATGCCCTTTGTAAAACGTTTACACAATAGATACAATTTTTTTTGAAACATTCTGTTGGCTATTTAATTTCACTTCTTTTTACGCAACAACGGGCAGGTAATAAATTTATAGCTTATATATAATATATATATGTTTGTGTATGTGTGTGTGTGTGTGTGTGTGTGTGTGTCTGTGAGTGAGTGTTTGTTTGTACATATATGTATGTATGTACGTAGATATATTATTGAATCTGTGTTTGTAAATAATTTATGTGAGCTTGTGATTAAAGAATA